GACATGGTTTGGATACATTAGCCATACGTACAAGTGTGACGCAGATGGTGTAGAACCTTTTAGGTAGGGGTACGGTGATGATGCACCGGGACCCCCTTTGTTGAGTGCAGCAGCCGCGCTGCCACTCTCTCTTTCTCCTCCTGCTTTCCGAGCACGACAGCGTCCTGGGTACGGGCGTTGTCTCACCGTCTGAAGTTAATACACTACACAAACAAGTCCCGATAAGTACGCGGAGTACGGCCGACAAACAAAAATCACCTCTCTACGCTTCGCCGCCAGGAGGAGCAGCGGTCGCCCGCGAAGCGCGACAAGGGTGACGATGAAGAGGGAGAGAATGACGGAGTACGGCAGCAAGCGGCGGCGTTGAATGCCGCGGCAACGGTGTCTACGGTAGAAGAGCAGGGCAAGCCCGGGGAGGGAGGAGTCCGAGGGTACAGAATAGGTGTACAAGAAGACGGGGCAGCTCTGGAGGCAACGACCTCCGCCCCGATCACGGTCGAGCCGTCGCTAGCCGCTTCTCTAGTGGATAGTGGCTTCGTCAGCGAAGGAAGCTGCACGACTCCGACTCCGGATAGTAACACGGCGGTGGTGAGACTGGTGGCGGCGGCACCGCCGCCGAGGGACGGGACGGTAGCCTGGGCGGCGACGGCGGTCCCTACCACACTCCCTTCTCTCAACACAGCGAACGGTATCGAGCACCATGGCGGAGAGAGCGAGGCTGTTGCCAGCACCAATTTCACTGCGGCGGAAGAAGAGACGCGACCGAAGCTCGTGGTCCCGTCTCCCGAGTCCGCCTCAAACGACACTCAGGAAATTTTACTTCGCAGACGCTTCGATCCCCAGCGGTGTTGCCAGCGGGGCTGCTTCTAGTGTCGCGGCCGCCGCAGCAGCAGGCTCGGATTTGCAGTAATGCCGGTAGTAGTGGCGAAAGGAAGTTGTTTCCGCTTGGCGGTGCGGCAGATGGTGATGGGGACGCGCGCTCATACAAGCGCTCCGGGGACGGAGGCGGCCGCTACTGTGGACGCCTGGTTGCAAGCGAGCAAGATCAGCCGCTCGACATCCCTTTCTTATGTCTGAGGAGACCCAGCAGGGGATGATGGCGATTGCGATGCCGGTTACGATGCGGCCATGGCGGCAGCGGCGGCGGCGGCGGCGGCGGCGAGGCGGCGGCAGCCACGGCAGCGGCGGCGGGTGAGAGAGGAACCGTGAATACTACAGCGTCATCGTCGGACGAAGCTCCTTCGGCTGCGGTCAAGACGCAACCCGAGGCCCTGGCAGCGGCGGCGGCAGAGGTGGTGGTCAAAGCCGCCACGTCGGCGACGCACCACTAAGCGAAGGCCGACCGCAAGCGGGCCAAGCGTGCCTGTCATGAGGCTTGCACCCGCCGCGTGAACCAGCGCTTATTATAGTAAATATTTTATGGCGCCGATGCTGTTTCATACCCATAATTCGATTCAGCACGTAGTCTTTTACGGAAAAGTTCACGGGTGTCTGCGTCTCGTTTCATGGGGTAGGATTCCTGGTTAATAATACTTGAAGTAGTAACGTTTCATCCAATGGCATGGGCCGCTTGGGACATTGCTCAGGACGCCTAGCATTCGGCCGCCACCATTGGCTATTGACTTTTTCGCCCTGTTTTAGGGTGCACCGGCGGCGGCGGCGTCTGTTCTACTGCTGTATGCTGACAAAGGCGAGGGCGCGGACGTTGACAGCTCACGGGCTTGCCAACTGCCACATACTTTGTTGCGCCGCTTTTTTTTTTGTATCAGGCGTGCAGCACTGATGTATTTGAGGTGCGGGCCGCATTCCTCATGATGATGAACACCACCCCCTCTCTGAACCAAATGACGCCCCCATGCCCCCACAACTCAACACTGCTGCTGCTGTGTGGTAAATGAATCAATGGTGACAACGTGTGTATCCAACAAAAACGCACGAGCCTACTGCAAGTACTTTTATAATTCTTGACTATAACGCCTTCCTCTCTTGTACAGCCAGAGCATTGTATACAGCATGTTCTGATGTACTATCCATGACATTATTTGTGCCTCACCGCATCGGATAGGTATTACCTTCCGCAAGACGAGAAGCACACACACGTGGTCTAGGGAGAGCATAATGATGAGCGAAGAAAAAAAGAGAGGGGAGATTTTGCTGGAAGGCAGCTAGATAGAGTAAACCGACCTATTCTGGGACGCCTAAGCCACCTCTCGCGTGTTTTACAGCGCTACCAAAGACGCATGCGTGGAGTGAGGGTTGCTTACGGAAACCTCACAGGTTGAGTGATGTAGGAGATTGCCGGACACATAGTCTAGACGTGTTGAGTGATTATAGCTGTATACTGAAACCCCAAGGGTTGAGTGAGGTTTGAGATTGCCAGACACATGGACGGGTTGAGTGGGGATAGTTGCATACTGAAACCCTACGGGTTGAGTGATGTTGGAGTGCCGCACACATAGACGCGTTGAATGATGATAGACAAATACTGAACCTCACAGGTGATTTATATTGCGAGACACCTAGACTAGACGTGTTGAGTGAGGATAGCTGCATACTGAAACCTCACAGATGCATTGGTTTTTGAGTTTGCCAGACACGTAGACGCTTTGAGTGGGGATAGCTGCATACTGAAACCTCACAGATGGATTGGTTTTTGAGTTCGCCAGGCACATTGACGCGCTGCGTGGGGATAGCTACATACTGAAACCTCACGAGTTGAGTGATGTTGGATAGTGTCGGACACAAAGACGCTTTGAGTGAGGATGGCTGCATTATTGAGACCTAACGGGGTGAGTGACGTCTGCGACTGACTGCCGAACACATAGACGCATTGAGTGACGAAAGCTGCATACGGAAAGCTCACAGGTTGATTTGTATTGGAGATTGCCGGACACATGGACACGTTGAGTAAGGATAGCTGTATACTGAAAATCCACAGTAGCTAAAGTGAGGGGACAATTCGAGGATGCAGTACACATAGAACCGACCCCCAACCAGTACCCGAACCCCTCCTGAAAAAAAGAGGCCATGCGCCCCCCCCCCTCTCTACCTCCCCCAGAGGATGAGGAGGGTACAGCCCAAAGTNCTACTCACGTCTAGCAAGCTGAATGACCAGGCCAACCACGCAAAAACTGCGGAGGAGCTAGATGTGCGGCACGCACAATGCATTGTTTTCGATTGGAGAGAGGCGAGTATAAAGCAGTAAGGAATTGTTGGCCAAACTTTCGGCAGATAGGTCTACTCGGGAGCGTAAGTGGGGTAGCAACCCATGGTGGAGCGTACATGAGAAGCTGGACGTTGGTGTACGCCCCATCCCGGCGTGTGCGTAGGATCGTGGGCTATGCAAGTCGTCCCTGAACTTATTGTGGTGAAAATGACCTCCCAGGAGGAAAGTAGCCTGTACCGCGGGACTTCGTAGATGATAAATTGAGTGGTCGGGGGACGTCTGGGTGTTTACTAAGCAGAGCGCCCGGCACAAGACTGGGGTACTTGTGTCAGGAGGTGTGAACTTGGATCTAGACTACGAGCCTATGTTGGAGGCG